GATTCTGGCATTCCCTCGGGACTTTCACCATTTTGGGACTCTTTTATTTCATATACTTTCAAAAAATGTATTTTCTACCCCTGTCAACTCTTCAACTCTCCACCCTAGGGAAATGATACTTAACTTTATATCTCATTTCAGAGTCCCAGTTTCTAATGGCCTCCCCTTTGGATTTATCACCAACATTGGTGACACCAAGTATTCAAATACAGTGAATTTTCATTGCTGTGAATGTTCTTCCTAATTCCTAAGGATAGGTTTTTATATCTGGGCATTTGGACACTCAGGCTCACATCTCTGAAGGATCTTTAGGTGCCTCTATCAACCAGTTAATCAATCAATCAATCAAGTGGCAGTCATTGCTACTGACTTACATACATCTTATTGCACATGATTTTCTCCCTTTACTGGGCATTGGACCCAGAACCTCATGAAGGGTATTACTAAGTTGTCCAGGCTAGCCTTGAACTTGTGATTCTCCTCTGATAATTTCCCAAGTATCTGGGATTACAGGTCTGGTGGCACTGGAATATGCAATTAAGTTGAAGATCATGTAACAGCAAGAGATCTTGTCCACTTCTCTTTGTAAGGTCAAGAATAGTCCAGGACATTACATTTTTTACTTAGTTTCACAGGATACAGGAGCATACTCTGGAGACCCTGCCCACAGACCCTTCTCCAAGGTATTGCCTGTGAGATCCTGGTCTGAGATGTACCATGGGAAGGAGCTTGTTTCTAAGACCCAAATGAAGCCTTGGTGACCCAAGGTCCAGTTCTCTTATTGAGGTTTCACGTACTAGTTTGTTTTTGTGGGAATTTCTGGATTAATGAGAATGAGAAAAGTTCTGATTTTCAGGTGGGATGAGGTACACACCACCTGGTACATGAAGCACTTGGAGTCCAAACATGGACAGGAGACCCAGCTCAGTGGTCACCAGTAGAATGATAAGAACAGACTATGAAGATCTTGGAGACTGCACATGCTATGTTTGCCCCAAAGCAAGCTGTGTAATAGCAGCTAGTTTTAGGAATTATCATGATCCCAAGGAAGAAGCAGAACAACAGAATTTTGGAGACCAGAGTTACAGGAATACATTTCTCCAGAAGATCTTTCTGGGTGTGGGTGGGCTGGACAACCAGTTATCTCTGAAATACATTGTGTGCTTCCTGGAAGCTTGACTTATTTTCCTCCTTGGTCTTACGGAGGTTCCAGCATGACTGTCAGTTGGGTGATAAAGATTAGCAGGTAATGCTAGCCTTGGGTTAATAGACTGGCCATGACATCTTCTGAAGTCACCTTTGGGTGGAGATGTACTGGCCAGAGTGTCCTGGTTGGTTGTGGAGTATTTCTTGAAACAGTGACTTCTCAGGCAAGGGCTTTGTAATAGTCCCTCCACCCATGTGAATAATACCCAATTTCTCCAGACAGAAACTGTACCTCTGGAGGCACAATTCCCAGAAACAAGGAGGACAGCACCACATGACAAAGAGAAACATGACATAAAGTACATGGAGCTCTGTGGTTGTGTTTGCTTTGCTTCCGAGTTTAAACTCTGCCTTTCAATTTCTGTGCTTGTTAATAAGGATCAGAGTACTGGGTGACATTACAATTGATCCAGTATGGAAAGATATCAGCCCACAGGCTAAGATTAGTCATAACAATGACAAATGCTCCATAAGTTTCTACTAGTAACATTCTCAAGTGAAAAGGGTGTCTACTTTTCATACATAAGGTCTGGATTTTCTCCCTTTCAACTCTATTGAATATATTTATTTTATACTATAAGGATTAAATAGAAGAAGAATGTTGGGGGTTCCCATATATTCCTCTGAAAAGCACCATTCTCTACTCAGTGGGGGATCCATAATCCCTGATATACCAAAAGGTGGCCACTTGGTATTGGAGTGTCTTCCTTACTTGGTCATCAACTTAATGAAAGCAAAACCAAAGAAGTGTCGAGTTCTGCCTTGATATTTTACCCAGTGCATGCCACGTTACAAATCATGACTCAACTACTAACCAACTTTTGCTGAGGAAGCCTCTGGGGGCTTTGGGCTACTCTACGATTCAGGTGAAGCCTTTCTACCGCTTATCTACCTGTTCATTCACCCCTTCCTTCCTTCTTCCATTGTTGATCATCTTTCTTTCTCTCACAGTCTACTGTAGCATGAAAAATAAAAGGCCCAGAGACTGAGACTAGGGTTCAAGCTGCAAGCTGAAGACCAGAGAAGCAAAGCATCCAAGCCAGTGGATCTTACCTCTACCCAGCTGAAATGGCAATCCTGTCTCCACAAATCCTCAGAGGCCAAAACTCTCAGTTCCTGTCTCTTCCTGTCTTTTATTCTTTCCTCTGCCTGGCCATATCACTCCTGTCTCCACCTCCCTAATGCTGGGATTAATCGTGTGTGATCCAGGTGCTGAGATCACTTTGTATAAGCTGTTTCTTTTATGACTGGATCAATTTTGAATAGTTAAAGTGGCTTTGAACTAACAGAGATCTCTCTACCTCTTAATTCTGAATCCTGGGATTAAACATGAGTGTCACCACTGCCTGGTTTCTATAGCTTGTGGCTGGCTTTGCTTTCTGAATCTTCAGGCAAGCTTTAATAAATCATAAGTAATATATCACCATCACAGTCTACATTTGTCTTGTATCTATGTCTGTATGAACATATTAAAAAAGAAAATTGGTTGGTTTAAATAAGTTTGATCACTCTAAATCTTCCGTACCTTTATCTGTGATACCAGGGGATCCTGTATGAATTAGTCATAGGCTGGTACTATGCACTCTTAAAGAACTGTAGGTATCAAAGACATCCTTGGTCTCCAATAATTGTCGATGTGAGCCATTCATTGAGACTCAAAATCATAAAGAAAATAACAAGTCCTTTCTGGAAGAAGGAGATCCTCAACACTTGTGTTGGTTTTACTCTGCTGAGTTCAGAACAAGGAATTGAAAAGACTAAACCAGCTGTTAGGCTGTGGTAAGTGATACTACTACATTCTTTACTTTGAGAAACATGACTTTTTCATCCCGGGACACAGGAAATACTAAGTGTCCTTTTCCTTGATGCTACATATTTATCTTTCTGCACGGATGGGAGCACACTTCTTTGAGGGGACTCAGAGAGTCCTTAACAGACAAAACAGCATGGTATGCAATTTATAGTACAATTCACATATAAGCTTTGGCCTGCTGGTCTACTGTGGAAATTAACATTTCCTTCTCCAAATGCTTCATGAAGAAAGTATATCTGGATCATTGTGAACTATGAGGAAAACCATTGATTTTTAGACTTTCAGCTGAATTAAGCTATGCAGAAAAAGGTGATGGTGGTGGAGGAGGGGGAAATCAAGTTTCAAAGGAAGATGGCAGCCAATTTCTTTCGTTATTTATTTTTTTATTTTTTTCCAAGAACAGTTAACATTTGCCAGGCACGTGTTGGCCTCAGTCACTTGCATCTAAAGAGCAAAGCTAATTTACCCACAGCCCACGTTCTCTGAAATGGTTAGCTTTATTTCTTAGCTCTGTTAACCACTAGTCTAACGTTAGCTTCAAGTTCAGTTTTAATCATCTAGCCCATAATTGTCTACTGCTCCCTGCCACATGAACAAAAATGTTTGAGGGGGTAAGGCGAGCAGTTTACATCTTCTATGGATACTTCAAGTAATTGGCTCCAAAGTGAAACTATCGAGTTGACCATGGTTTAGCATGTTCTGAGGGCATAAAATGTGGAAGGGATTGACCTGTAGAAAGAGTCTGTATCCAAGAATGTGTGAACATGTGAAAACCCTACTTTACTTCGGCTGGACTCATATCCCCAGCCACTAGACTGTGAGAATAGTAGATACATTACAAAAGGAACACACCGATGCACACTGATACTGAAAAACAAAAGGCTTGTACAAGATGGACAGCGGATGAAACTGCTTCTAGCCAACTAAAATCCCACACAGGTCATCGTTATACATACATTGACATACACACACCCACACACGCACAGACACACAAGCAAGAATGTGTATTTTGTAAGATTGGTCCATGGAAATAGACATCCTTAGCAAATATGGATGACAGATCAATTGTAATTTATTTTCTTTTAACACTGTATCATCATAAAGAAAACTGGTATAAATGAAAAAATCTATTTCAAATATCTACATCTAAAATTTTAGGCAGTGAAAAAGCACTTTGTTGACAAGGAGTGTGGAATGACGTGTTAGCTGTGAGAAACTGCTGGATGCCTTGTTTAGTTGCCACAAACAAATCACATATCAGAACGAACAATACTGCTAAATATTCCTTTTTTTTCCTGTTTTTTTTTTCTTTTTTGTTAAAACATACTGGGAGAAAGGAAAGAAAAGAAAACTGGAAATCCATACATCTCTCAAAAGTTTGAAATTGAAGCAATATTTAGAACCATTGATGAGGAAACACGGCAGCATTGGTGTAATATACACAATGCTCTCTTCTCCTTTAATCTGTAATGTACATCAAATACTTTACAACAATGCATTAACAAAAGGCAAGAGACGTCTTGCTGTACAGAGAAACCCCAATGCAACTTGAAGCCTAGAGTCACACGGATGAAGAGAGTAAACCAAGCGTGAGAAGCCGTCCCCCATAGTGCGTAAACTATTCTGTCTTGTGCTTAGCGATAACCTCCACGCCCACCACCCTGATCGTCCCTTCTCTCCATCCTTCAGCCCCATGGCCTATAAAGCACTTTGAAATCTCTATAGTTCAAACTAGAAAGGTGTCGAATATGGTCACATCTAGGATTGCGTTTAGCTTTCTATCGATTTCCTAGTTAACTCTCGATTCGTTTAGCTTTCTAAAATAGCTCTGAATATTTTCTTTCTGGTTATCACAGCCTTCCTATGGAACAGGCTTTAACAAACTAAATTTGCAGGGGAAGAAAAAAAAAGAAAAACAACAGAATGTCCTGTGGTATGCATGCACATGCACTGTTCCCCGAGTGCCTCGTGTCCTGGCTTCTCACACCCAGGAGTCGGGCGAGGCCGGGTAGTGGCTCGTTTCATAGTTCAGTTCACTGTAAGGACGGGCAGCGGAGTAGAAGTCCACGTAGTTGCCAGTGGACTTGAGGCCCAGGTGCATGGTGTACTCGCTGGCTGGAGGGCGGTGATGGACCTGGTCCTCAAAGAAGGACTCGTCATAATTTCGTGTGGAATTCTGAAACGGCTGGTAGGTCTCGTAGTCTTTCCTGCTAGGCTCCTGGGGGACAGGCTGTGCTGAAACCTGCCAGAGAGAAAGTGTCATTCCGGGTTAGCCATTCCCTAACCCACCTTCTTTCCCATGCCCCTCTACCACCCTGTGCAGAAAGGGCTGGAGCCTGCTCCAGGCTTTCTGCCCACACTGCCAGTGGCTGTGTTCTTTTCATGAAATTTGACATCTTATTTTTAATTTCTTATCTGTGGCATTAAGTTTGGTGATGTGATGCCAGTATTCAATGTGTTGAGTAGCATTTCAACCTTAATGTGTTGGGAATCTTCAAACTGTCCCTTCTAGTTTTTTTATAAAATACAGAAAAGTCATCGTGAATGTGGTGTATGGACGTGAGGGCTTATTCTCCGTCTGGCATCTCTCTCTCTCTCTCTCTCTCTCTCTCTCTCTCTCTCTCTCTCTCCTTTTCCTGACTCTGCTGACCATTAGTCTACTTGCTTCTTCTGTGGAAGCAACTTGGTTCTTAATAGCCCGTGTAAGAACAAGTATGTTTGGTCTTTCTGGTGTTCTAGCCAGGAAAGAGAGGGCCAGGAGAGGTCCAATAACTGGTCCAGGGGACTAGGGAGCTGTATCAATGGATAATGTTCTTGCCATGAAATTGAAGACCAGAGTTTGGATTCCCTGAACCCACATAAAAGTTGGTAGGTGTGCTGGCTGCCTGTAGTCCCTCCACCACAGAGGCAGGGACAGGGAATCCCTGGGGCAAACTGGCTAGAAAGAATTGGTGGTTTAGGTTTTGAGCTCATTAAACCTATTGCCCACTCCTAGATCCTGGAAATGTTGATGGTGATTTCTATCTCTATGAATTGGTCCACTTTTGGATCCTCATGTGAATGGAGCCACACAGTATTTATGCTTGTACATCTGGCTTTGCTCCCTCAGTAAGTTTCCATCACTCGTACAGGCTGTGTTTGTCAGAATTCTTTTTTTTTTAAGAATGAATATTACTTTGAATGCACATACCACATTTTGTTTATCCATTTGTCTTTGGTAGACAATTGGATACACCTCTGTCTATTTGTGTCACCCCTTTTGGGAGCCATAGCAGCTCTGCTACATTACTGGGTGAGCTGTGGAGTAAAGAAGTGTAGACTAAACTCTGTAGAATAAACAACATTCATCTTTCTTTTCCACATTTGTTGGCATCACACTTAGGTGCTGCAATATCAAAGAGGCTCGAGACGTACAAGGTCTATTGGCCACACTGCTCCTACTTATAACACATTTCTGCAATCATGTAAGGAATTGTGGCTCCCTGTGGTTGGTCCACTCTATTGCACCTGCCCAAAGTGACCAGGGCTTCAGACAAATACACAGATACATGCTCCAAATATCCTACCCTGTGGGAGACCAAATGCTTCCTAACACTTGATGCAATTAAAATTGATTACATTAAAGAATGCTGCAAGAACAATGGTTCACACCTGTAATAGCACATACAAGGGAGGCTGGGGCAGAAGGATGCAAAGCTGAGGTCTTGGGGGTTCAAGGTCAGTCTCGGCAACTTGACAGGACTTTGCCTCTCAGGCACAAGGTCTTGGGTTTGATCCTCAGTATCAGGGGCATTCTGAAGCTGTTAATTAGAAGGTGGTGTCTGCAGTGGGGGTCCTAGCCTAACTCAGTGATCCTTGTGCTTGGCTCTGTGGTCACTATCTGATATAGGGTCTAGAAACATTCAAAGGTCACAGGAGACTTGCTAGCAGTCAAAAACTGGCTCCTGTGCCTGGCTTTAGTGAGAGTAAGATAAGGGCCATCCCTGGGATGATAATACATTAGCCACCCCCTCCACATCTCTTTCTGTCTTGACTGACAATAGGATTCCTTTTCAGGTACCTGACCCCTCATTGTGAGCAGATGTTCCTAAGGTGTGGGATGAGGGACACCCCATAGCCAGTGTCCACAGTCATGTGCAAAACCCTACACCTTGTAGCAGCCAGGATGTCTAGCATGGAATACAAAACACCCTGGAAAAGATTCATTTTGATTACCATTCAGCAGATTCAATAACTCCCTATTAATTTTACTAAGGTTCAGGGTGGTAGCCTCCTTTAGAAATGGGTTTAGTTAATAGGTAGTGATTTGTAATTAGCACAGTGTAGGTAAATGAATGCCTCTAATGGCCCAAATACAATTCTTCTCTCAAGTAAGAGAAGCTCCATCTTTCATATATAATGAATTTATACTAGAAATCGATCAGTTCTCCACAGAAGTGGGGAACTTCATCACAGAGACTGTCCAGGATGCCTCGGACTTCCAGTTAGTGGTGGTGAATGATTGAATGCTTCAATCTACCTGTGAGAGTCTGGGTGTTCATGGAGAATTGACCTCTGCTAGCCCCAGATCCTGAGCCCAAGAGGAATTTTGGAAGTAGCTCGTAACACCTATGAAGGCTGGGCTGTATGCACAAGCAGGCCCTTCCCATCCCAGAAAGAGCTGTGTGCTCTATGAGACTGTGCTGCAGTCTGAGCTCGGGAGGGGGGCCCAGTCAGAAGGCTTGGAAACTTGCAGAGGGGGCTTGCTGGAACTCAGTGTCTCTATTTGAGTATGTATAGCCTTCAGCATTGAATAAACTGTTCTTTTCTTAGTGCTCAAAGTGTCACAGAAGTGTATGTATGTGCATACCACACGATCTGAGTCCGTGTCTTCCATCTGTTTATTTACATATGTCTGCCCATCTGATTCCTACTTTGCTGGCCTCTTCTGCAGCAATCACTTCCCAGGACATTTTTACAAGGGACTGAACAGATGGGGCCTGTTGGTCTTATACCTTCAGCTTCCCCAATCAGGAGCTAAACTGCTTTTCTTGATGTAGCACCCAGCCTCCAGCATTTTGTTACAGCATCAGAGGAAAAAAAAAAAATATCAAGATCGACTAGCAAACTGGATTTATTTTAAACACAAGCAAATGTAGCTGCTGATAGCAGGGTCTTCAGTGTTTTCCACTGAGGAAAACTGAAGATTCAGAGCATCAGTGAAGTGGGTCACATGGTAGGGACTTCAAGTTACTCTATTTCTTGTGTCTCAGTGTTGTCACAGCAGCAGGAAGCTGTCCAAGATGTAAATTATCGGGCTAAATCCCTTATCTATTGAATCAGAAAGTCTGGTGTGGGGGGCCACAGACTCACAGTTAGATAGCACTGGGTGGCGGTAGTGGGGGTGGAAGGGTGAGAAAGAGGGGTGAGGTGGGGCTCTTGCCCAGATTTTAAAGTCACTGAGACAAGAGACGGGAAATGGGACCCAGAGGCAGAAGCATCAGTTTGAATCCTTGCTTCTTCCCAGCTGGAGGACTGAAGGGAAACCCTGTCCCTGGATAACCATTTCCTTATCGATGGTGACAATTACACCTGTCTGATTATCTGAGACTGGGACTCTAGACACCAAAAATAAAAATCCACAAGGTTGTGGTTTAAGTATAACTTTGAGACTGATCATCAAACACGAACCCCCTTTATGAAGAAAACATCCACTGCAAGACAGGCATGTGCAATTAGACATATTTGTATTTCTGAGCGTGAGATTGATGAGTAGACATTCACTGGGGCTTTGGGGAGTGCTCAGATAATGTATATGACCTGTCTGTCACCAGGCATAAGCACCGAGGGTTATCAAACTTTCTTTTACACTATTGGTTGTTTCTCCTATGAGACTTGAAGTACATAACTCACTGAGAATGTGCATGGCGTTCTTGGGGCATGCACATTCTTGTGCCCCAAGAGCCTGGCTCCTTTTCTGTGGAGTCACCAGAAGTGGGGTTCAGGGCTGTTTTCCTACCTTACCATCCTGCCCACACATCAGGTGCTGGCACTCGTTCCCCCTTCTCAGCACCACAGTTTTCCTCCTCTCTAAGGTCAGCTGCTGTCTGCCCCTTCTCCGTGACTGTTTTCTTTAGAGACAGGCTCTCTTTCTATAGCCATGTCTAGCTTACAACATACTATGTAGCCTGAGCTGGCTTTGAACTTGTGCCAACAGCATCCCAAGTGCTGTGATTACAGGTTTGAGGAACCATACCCAGCCCAGGTCAAGTATCTGTTCTGGTACTTTGCAAACCTTAGTTCTAATTTTTATAAACAACCGGAATGTTCTTAAAATATGCTTTTGAGAATATTATGGGCTGTTCCATAAATGCAGGGAACAGTCTTGGGAGCTTCTGTAGTCAGACCATGCCTGAGCTACACCAGGGTGTGTCTTCATTACCAAATACAGCAGGATTGTATGGGCAGGAAGGCTGCTGTGTGATGCGCTGATTCCACAGCATGTCTCTTTACTGTGTAACTAAAAGGTAACCCTGTACTCTTGGCTGCAAAATCAAGAGTTTACCTTCATCCCTACAAATCTCTTTCAGATCTTGAGATTATCTGCTCCATGTAGCTACAGAATCTTATGATATTGCTATAGGAAAAAGAGTTGATTTCCATAACTAGAGCTGATACCTCTAACACACTTTGTCCCCATCTTTACAGGTAGGCAGGTTCACTGGCAAGAAAAATAGTTGAGGCCATCTGGTGACTTCCTGTCTACTGCTCATGACCCAGTTTATTTATTCATTGGCTTTTTTCTTTTATTTTACTGCCAGGTAGGAAGTGACAGTGAAAGCAGGACTTGTCATGAAGCCTGAGGCTGTTTAGAGCCTGCTGCACCATGCATGGGTATGCTATACTGGTCATGAGGACAGAACATGGACAGCTTTTGTTTTGATGAATGTGAGACACAAGTCAATTTACTCCTTGAGAAACCAATTTGGAATTCTAGGCCACACGAGTCAATAGGAACAAGAATACAAATGCATTGCTTGCACTTCACCTGGTTGTGTTTGATGTCTTCAGCGGGCGCACCATATGAATTCCTATACAAAGTTGAGACTCCAGTGTTTTGAGCTAAAAGCAAAAGGGAAACAAAGTTATTAGCAATACAAGCCAGGTTCCAAGTATGGAAGGATGGCTACTGAGGCAGGTTCTTGACCTTGTACAGCTTTGTTTGTCATGGACCATTCCAAGTGGAAGGGCATCTTTGTCCCCAAAACTGCTTTTACATATTCAGGAAGAAGAGGAAACCATGCTATAAACTTCCATGGCCTCTCAGCTTATTATAATAATGTTTGCATCATGAACGGGGTCAGGGGGGTGAGGTTAACAGATGGTTGGTCATCTTGCAAGTTTTCTTGCCCTCTTTCCTGGTTAAAAAAAAAACCAAAAACACAAGATCACAAAAGCTTGTCACCTGTGCTGAGCATGCAGGAGCTTGATCAGTGGCTTAGTTTTTAGCTGGAGAATGACAAGAATATAATTTCTAATTTGAGTGCACACAAATACTTGGTCATCTCTCAGACAGTTTACTCGACAAGGCCTAAAGGCCATGCAGACGGCACCATCTTAACACCCCTTGCTCATCTGGTGGTGGAGGGGATGAGGAGCTTGCTTCAGAAGCCTGTTAGGTACAAAGTCCAATCTGTCCTCATACCTGTCTCTAGGTTGGGGCGGGGGAGATATCCTGCTTCTAGGGGAGGTTCCCATTTCCTCAAATGGCACCTTGGAGGTACATGCCACAGGCCAGATGAATTGTACTGTTCTCACCTCTGCTGAGGGGTCATGGCTTAAGAAAGTTCTGGAAAATGCTACTTGTCTAGGTCACTAGAACGCACACACACACACACACACACACACACACACACACACACACACACACAAACACACACACAACCCCCTTTTAAAATATCGCTGGTTTCCAGGATCTGAGGATAATGAATTTTTCACACCACCTACCTTCTTAAGCTCAAAAGCACACCAGATCAGAAGGGCTTATCATGTTTAATTTCCTACCACTCACTGCTATTATTATTGCCCCAAAGGCACACAGTAGCTGTATAGTTAAACTCTTGGAAGACAGTGTTTAGGAAGTGAGGGTGAGCTTTCTATTTACCTCCTGTGTGTGTTGCATGCACCTGGAAGTGTGGGTGTGTGTATCCTTGCTCACACATGGTCCAGGAGGACAGAGTAGAATATTAGTTGTTGTCCACTCTTGCCCTCCACCTTATTATTTTGTCACTCACATGGAGGCTCACAATCTTGGCTCAACAGGCAGGAGATGAAACACTCCATATCTGCCTGCCTCTGCCTCTGCCTCTGCCTCTCTGATGCTGGGGTTATAGGCACAGGCAGCTATGCCCAGCTCCTCACCTGAGTGTGTGAGATTCACACTCAGGCCCTCATGCTTGCAAAGCACACTGAGTAATTTCTCCACCCACTCTTTTCAGTTTTCTATCACTCTGCTACCCTCTGTGAATAAACATACATTGCACCTATCTCTATCATCCTTACTCTCTTCGGGATCACTGAATCTTCCTAGTGGACTCAACTTCCTGCCTGCCCTGTCTTCACCAGTCTTCCACAGCCAGGGGAATCCTTGTGTCTTATGGGCTGCATTATGTCACTCTCTCTGCTTGGTCATACTTGAGTGCTGAAGTTGCACATGATCTGCCCATAACCCCACTTCCCACCATGTTTCTCAACCATTCTCTCTTGTTATGGACTCTTAGCCCCACCCTGCTCCCCTTTGATCTATTGAATGAGTCAAGTTCGTATGCCCTCAGGGAGATTGTACCTGCAAATCTTCCTTTATCCCAGATTCTGGGATCTGGTTGGTGTCCAGTTACCAGCTGAGATGTCTTCCTGTTGCCCGTAGCATGTGAAGTTACCTTCTCTACCCAGCCTCCTCTGTCTCACTATCTGTTTGGTCCCACATCATATGCAGCATCGTGTGAGGTTACCTTATGGGAGAGCTTATTCTGTTGCTGACCTTGTTTATTGCCAGTCTCTGTTTAGTAGAGCAGAGGCCCCATAAAAACAGACAAGCACGTTTGATCCCTTCTGCCTGTGTGCCTCTGGGATGGGGCCTGATCTCAGTGGATCTTCGCAGAGCAAGAGACATAATTACTAAATGAGGGAATGAAGGCACGAATCTTGGAAATCCATGTACCTGTTTTATGTAAAGGTGCTGATAAAAATGTCACGTCAAGGTCAAGGTGGAAGGCTGGCTTGCCATTATTTGGAATAATGTATTTTCGGGGTGGGGACATATGTGCGATTACAATCTTAGCCTCTCTTCATGTTGTGTTGTTTGTTTTCTCAGTAGGAGATGGTTTTTTTGGAAGTTCTGCCCTCAGCTCTTTGGCTCACTTGCCTGTGTAGAAAAAACTGGTTGAGAGTGAACTCCATTTGCAGGCATAGGAAGCCTCTAGGATGCTCTTCATAGAGAAGTGCCTTGCTTTTTTGTGTCATTCCCTAAACACTCGATTTCTAACGGAGAGGATTAGAATGGCTTTAAAAGGCATTCGAGAGGCATTGACCAGAACGGCAGGCGTCACCGGATGAAAAGGGAAATTCAGGCGGAAAGGTGAAGCCCCCAGATAAACCTAAAAGTTAGACACAAAGAGGTTCCTAGGCAATCGCAGCTGCAGAACTAGAGAACTAGCTGCCAGTGTCTGGCATGCTTGAGCGCACAGCTGACGTTGGGATTCTCAGGGCCCCTGCTCAGCAGAAACACAAGGGGAGACGGTATTCTCAGAGATGTGACAGAAGCTGGAAAGGGTTGCAGAAGAGAACAGTGGGAAGGCTGGGATGAAAACCCACAGGGTCTGGATTTCTAAGATCCAAGCTAGAGAATGAGCACAGTGAGGGGCTGTGCCTACCGCAAGCGTCCCAATGTGGCCATTGAGGGCAGGTGGCCCATCCTTTCCTTTAGTAGCCAACCTCTCCCCACTGGGGAATGGCAGGGCATTACTGGTTCCCCAGGACCAAGGAAGGTGGAAACATTTGAGTTTTTTTTCCACCAAACCCTACCACAGCTTGGGTTTAATCTTAAGTGAGAAAAAAAATATAGTGGTGACAAAACTTTTCTATTCCAGTGTGACATGTTGCGTGCTACCGTGGCTCGGCTGGTGACTTAATTCACACCACTGACGGGAGGTAATAATCACTACCGTCAGTCTCATTACCAAGACCTCCACCTCATCCTTGCCAGCACTGCTGCTCCACCATGGCCAGCGTATCCACTCTCACCACACTCGTCACTCCACCCTCAGCAGTACTGACATGTTCACCTCTGCCCTGAACACCCCATCAGGGAGCTGGACCTCCACCTTCTATATTGCTTCCACCACCCTCACTGCTGCCGCTGATAACAACCAGCTTTTATATAAATACCCGTTGACTTGAGAAGAACGGTTCTTGTATAAACAAATTCAGTAAAGAGCTCAGTTTCCTTCTAGGTTGGCTACATGACTGATAGCATTGTTTTGAACTGAATTTTCAAGTAAGTCAGAGTTAAGCTGTTTGAGCTCCAAGTAGGTTTAAAGAATTCGATACATCTCAATAGCAGAGTTGTCAAGATCTTGGCCATTTCCTAGGCAGGAGGACTCTCAGGCATGTGAGACATCTTACGTTTTATTTTACTGTGTGCAAACTCATGCATCGCTAGAATTATTTCAGCATAAACATATTGCTGTTAAAGTCCTTTGGGATGATTCTGTGGGGTAGAGAGTTGAAAAGCAACACTAAACCCAAATGATAGTAATACAATCAATCTTACAATTACTCTTGTAACTATAATCTCAATCTGTCATCCCAGATTCTGGTGCTGTGGCTACCTGGGGCAATAATAATTACAAACTTGACTGGTCAGATGAATTTGCTGTCATTACTAATTCAAGCTAATCAGTATGAATTAGATTCTCCCCTGGGCGCCTCTAGGCTTGGGACTCAGATTCTCAACTTTCTTGGTCCATATTCAATGATGGCTAGAACAACATTCACAGGGCAGGGGGAAAAACAGTGAAAGAGAAGGATTGGCTATGGTGGTGAAATGAATTCATCTCTCCCATTCAGGATCGAGGCTGACATGTGGGGTCTGCACATGAAGGCAGATGTGGTCTTGGGGCTGCAGGAAGGACATATATCTTTAGCACATGTTTCTTTATGCAGCTGTGCAGGGTTAACACAGAACACACTGCTGCTGGGGTAAATACATTTGTTATTGCAAAAATTTATCTTATCTGCCCTGGGTTTGGGAGACATTTAATAAATCATCCAATTTGTCTGCTTCTGCTTCCCTGCAGGTCTGTGCATAAATAACATCAGAGACCCAGGCCCCGCATTTTGGAGCTTGTGCTGATGAGAGCATCTGTGTCTCCTTAGGGTTATACCCTTTGCACCCCAGTTTTATCAAAGGTATGACCACCTGATCTCCCCTTAAAGGCCCATTACTTGTAGTCTATTTACATCTTTGTCTCCACATGGCCAGGAATTGTGTTGGTTCCCTGTTACAATCGTGTGGTTCTGAGAGTCTAGTTTTGAAGATCTAAGCCCCCTACAGGAGCCTTCCAGGTCCTACTTTCTGTGTCCCATCCTATACCTGTGTTCTTAGAGAAACTGTCAGGAGGGGAGTGTATGCAGACCTTGAAGACAGTTGTAAATTCCCAAGGAAAACTGTACAAAGGACATGGGGCGTTAAGGCCACACCTACTTATTGGCCAGGTGAGCAAGGCATTCTGGGAAGGGAACTAGCAGGAGCCAAGAGTATCAGCTTTGGCTTCCCCAAGGTCCCAGCTGATGGGATGGAAAAAGGATGGTTCTGACTGGGATGGGGATGAAGACAAAAGCTCATCCATTCTCTGGCAGCTTCATGGGCATGGCTATGTAAGAGATCGGCATCACGGTAAGAGAAGAAAACGTGGGTAGCCTTGTCTTCTCCTCCCATTCGGGGCACTATCAAGGTCTCCCATGCTCTGACAGTCTCCAGGCCCTCGGCACTGGTCCTGGTCAAGTGCATGACTGTGCTCACCTGTCATGGCATCTTTTCTGGAAGTGTGTTCTCCTTTAGTTCCATGGTAAGTGGCATTGTTGCCAGTGGACTCGTAGTCCGTTTTCCTTTCTTTGAGGCTGATCATTTCCCGAGGTGAAGCTGGGGCACTTGCTATATAAAGAAAAGAGAAAGGCTTTTGTCTGTTGTCTCACTCCATGGCATGCATGGCTTTTCCCATAATCACGTCACCTCACAGACACACATGGTCCAACCTATGTCAGTATGATATGTGGGTCATTTGTTTTTTATTTTTACTTCTTTTGACGTTTGCGTTTACCACCTTCCCTCAGCCCATTGTGACGACTGCTTTATCATAAAAGGGACAGTTTGACTTGGCGGTGGGCACTTGAGGATTACACCCTGGATCATCCTCCTTGAGTCGAAATGGTGGAGACATGACCTTCCCTAGGTGTACATAAGCTCTTTATTACGGAGACTTGTCTTCTGAGCTCTTTTTCCTTCTCTCCCCCTTCGCCCTCACTTTATTTTTTAATTAGATACGCTTCAAAGGAGCTGTTACAGTTTGAGCATCCCTAATTTGAAAACCCTAAGTACAAACACTTTGAAATCTGAAACTTTCTGAGCATTGACATGACAACTGAAGTGGAAAATTCCACACACCCTACTTCATAACGTGGACTGCAGTCAAAGCACCCCAAATACTGTAGATTTTTTTTTTATACAATTGACCCCAGGCTGTGTGAAAGTTCTATAGGGAACATGAATGCATTTTGTGTTTAGACTTGTGTTCTCTGCTCAGTGTCTCCACGACATAAGTGAAATTTACTCCAAACTAAAATAAAATTACTTAAAAATGAGAAACCACAAACATTTCTGGTCTTAGCCATTTGAATTAAGGATATTAGGCCCATGTTGACACCGAAGAATCCCCAATGGAAAGAAATACAATGTGATTTCAACCCAGAGTTTCCCAGAGGCTGCCTTATGTAAGACAGAAGAACATCTCCCATGAAGGGAATTTGTGGGCTGAAATCACATCACCCCCATGGGGGACCTATGGGGTTAAAAACCACATCACCCACCAGGCTCTGCTCCAGGTAGCCTGGGATAGGCAGCAAGAACATTTTTGTTCCTGACAAGGCATTTTGGCTTCAGCTCTTGGAGTGATCATGTCAATAATGTCTCGTGCACCCCTTACATTTCAGTTGCTTGTTGATTGCTGGACACAAGGAATGGACCTCACCATGGCCATGCTCCTAGTTCTACAAGAGATGGGTTGTAATTACAGGAAGGACTCCCTGGGGGGAATTCCATGTTTTTAAAGTAAGCTGGCACCAGAAACAGGGGAACCACAGTTAACGGGATGGCTTTGTAGCAACTCAACAGTGAGCCCGCACAGAGGTGTGGGAAGACGAAGAAAATAGTGTTAGTGCTACAGGGGTGTGGGCCAGGCCTGTTCCCACCATGAAGGGGGCATCATGTGCAGTTTGAAGACCTCAGCCCCTGTGTGCTTTTATCTTCCATTTTCCTCTGACTTCCTAAACCCCAGGGCATCGTTCCATAATCTTGATTTACCCAGAGATCTGCCCAAGGATCTGGTGATTCTCCACATAACCCTTAACCTTGCTGGTTTGAATTTTCCCCAGAAAGCCCTTGGAGTCCACTCTTAACAAGCAGACCTGGTGATGACTAAGGCTGCACTTCTTTTTTTTAGCAGCTGACTGTTAACATGAAGCCATCTTTGCTAGTGTCTAAGCCACCTTTCCAGCCATGCCTCAGTTTACCTTTTAGAGCATCTCTCGAATCCTGTGCAGGGTTCCTCAGCTCCAGCACACAGGATTTGCTTCCCCCCCCCGAATGAGCCTCTTTCCACCCTGTGAGCCATTGGATTCTGTCAAACTTAATCAACTCTGTACAAATCCCAGTGCCAGACATTGCAGGATGCAGGGATGTGAACTGTGCCCTGTTTGATAAACTTGGGGCATCCCAGTAGAGTAGGGAAATAGATATACAGATACATGAGAATCTGAGTTGGAAGGATTTGGGAGAAGTCACATCCAAACGTGGGGGAAGTAAGTAGAGGTGCTGTTTGGCTGTCCGTAAAGAGTCTCACTACACATCCCAACCTGATCAAAATGAAACAAAGGCTCACTGCTCAGCTCTTGAGGTACCTGGAGGTTTCCAATCCCAACTACCCATCAGAAAGAATTTCCCAAATTCCTAAAACATAGATGCTTGAACTCCGTACAACACCAGTTGGGTCAAAGCACCCAGTGGGAATCCATGGGCATTGGACATGATCACCTGCAGTGTCTCTCCTGGTCACAAGAGAAATCTTAGTGCTCTGACTCAAGGGTGCATTTCCTTGCTGCACAGGGACTCTGGCTCTACACAGAGGGATCCGGGGCTGATGAAGGCGGAGAACAGAGTAGGACTGGGATGCTGTCCATTTCAGGCTGGATGAGAGACCCGGGACACAGCAAAGGGGCTCTGCATTTTATACATCTTTAGGATCCTGAGCTTAAAGGAGAATTATTTTGGGAACGACTCAGGCTCCAACAAGCCCCAGCTCGGTTGTACTCAGTCCATTCTGTCCCCTTCTTGTCAGCTGCGGTGTGGTGGTGGTGGGGGGTCTCACTTACTTCCACAACACCCCGTTCCTCTCTCTACTGCTCAACATTTCTCTTCTGGGAGAATCCTTCCTTTGTTCTTGTTCCTCTGTTCCTGGCTATCCTTGCACAGAACCTGGCCATTTAGGAGTTAGTGCTATCAATCAAGAAGACACAGGATTTTGGAGCCTTTTGACCAAAGCGTCTAAAATGAGAGCCTAATACTGCACAGATGGTGACATTTATTAAGCTACATGGAGTGTGTAATTATCTCCTGAGACCTTGAACGCGGTGATGCCCCCAGTCTTTAGTAAATCAGGGTTAAGCTCCAGGAAATACCAAATCATGCGAACAAATGTTTAGTAGGTGTCTTGATGTGCCTGGCCCAGGAAATGCCACGGCAAAGCACTTGTGGAATGGCTCCCCCAGGGTGGCCTTTGCCTTCGGACTACAGGCATGGCTCTTCCACACCCCAACACCTTCCCATCTACTCTATCCCTACAGCTTCCTGACTCTGGTTGGTTGAGTGTAGCTCTTAGTGGGGTAGTGCCACCCTCCTTGTGTGTCCTAGGTGTTCTTTAAGCTTTAAAAATTGTAGAATTTAAAAGTATGTGTCCGCTTCTGTGCTTCCCAGTGATGGGGGTCCCTCCCTCTCATCTATGCTTGGATCAAATGTCCCAAGTGACAACTACACCTTGAATACACAGACTTTCAGGGAACATGGAGAGGGTAATTGATTTCATTCAAAATTCCCCTTTTTGTCCCTGCTTTTTCCCTCAACCCTATGACAGTAAATCTGATGTAAAGTTTAAGGACAGTCATCCTCAGGGACACAAAAGTCATGTTGATGGGCAGATTTTCTGCCCAACCCTCCAAAATGCTGTTTCAGAGAACAGGACTTCCTCAGTGGGGGTTGGGGTCAAGGCAGGGAAGAGAAAGCTGCCACAAATAAGAGCCTAGACATCAGGGTATGCGTGGGGACATCTGATTATTTAGTCTTCAGTCATTACACAATCCAAGAAATAACCATTCAGACAGGGAAAGATAAGCTTAAAACCCTATACTTGGAGGAAGGGAACAATAGGATGCTTATGGTACTAAGATTTCCATCTCATCTCTGGGCTTACTCAGAATGACTGGAAAAATCATATGAAGTATTCTAGAAATGAACCGAGATCAAAATTTAAGTGCTAGGGAATTAGGCAAAATGAGGGAAAAATTACAAGTAGAAGTTGACCGTGATACAAATGTATTGATGGTTCATAGTTTATAATAAGTGAGCTGGGTAAGAGATAGTTAGAAGCACTTACGTAACTGTGACGTGTGAAGTCTTTCCTGCTTCCTTTAGACTCCTTCCTTATTGAGAGAATGAGGGCATCCCATAGGCAGGAAGCAAGCTCATCTGAGATTGGTTCCCAGTCTGTGTGTAGCCAATGGAGCTGCCACCATAACAACACATGCCCACACACTACCAGACAGCTGTTCTCAGTGTGGTGTCTAGATGAGTGGGCAGGCATGAGTCCCTTGGCTCAGAAAGAAACCAAGTCCTGGGCTGGTCCTTACCTGAGCGGTTGTTGGGAGACACACGCACAGGAGAGATGGAGGGTGTGCGGGAGGAGGAGTAGGGCCTTTGTCGATCCCTCTCAATGGTTGAAGATGAGGCTACAAAGTGATACTGTGACCATCCATCCTGCAAAAGACAGCATACTCCTATTAACCAGAGAAGGCAGGGTGATGCTTCACCTCCTGACTCTGCAGAGTTCCAGGCGTCTGAATTTGCAGAGCATTTCTGCAGGTGTCAGAAGAGATTACAGAGCCCCGCACATCACCAAGCCTTAACCCAGAGCAGTGGGAATTGAGGACACACCTCTTCCTCCAGCCTGGCCCTGGCAGGTGGGCCATTTGTGTCTGCCCCCCCACACAAATATTGAATAATGGTTTCTGTGTCAACTTGTTTTGGCCATGTGCATTTTTAAAGGCAAATACACTGCTCAGAATGTCAGACAGCTCCAATTGTCTATCTTTGCCTGCTTTCTCTCCATTCCCATTCACTACTGAACCTTTCTCAAGTGTTACTTTCTTATACCCAGGACAGATCTGCAAACAACAGTATCCCAAGGCAGCATTGTACCATATCATTTATCCCCTTTACATCATTTCCAACCTCTTCCTGTGTCACAGAAGCCCAACACTCCTGACTCAGGACCTCAAGGCTCTGGTAAGACACTGGATGGATGGTGCATTCCCTGGCAATCTTGGGAATTCCACTTCCGATCAGAGCATCCTCAAAATGTTTCCCACCACATCTTCCCTAGCCTTCCTCTGTCTGGTCTTCATGGGAGATGCATATATACCATTTTATTAGAAGACCCATACAAACACATTATGGGTCATTTATGAATTCATAGAGAACAAGGAAGAAAATTAAAATAGCTGATGACTTAAGTCCTCCCAACTACAGAGTTAACATGTTAACTCTTGTTAACATGTCATAGGCCTTCCTTCCAGTCTTTATTCTTTAATTCAATTGTATGTCTATCAAAGTACTGTCCCAAGTAGTGCTGGCATAGCAAGAAAGAACAATGGGCACTCGCCCTGCTGTTAATTCCCTCTTCATGGAGACAACTCTTTTAGTTTGTCTCTTTAAAAAATAATATTTAGATTTCAAAAAAAATTTGATGTTCTATGGGGAATCATTGCAAATATTAATAGATGGAAATTAAGAACAAAATTCATACTCACTTCAATCTTTGTTTATGGCTTTGTTTATCTGATTTTGATAATTCCTGTTCTTACTCATGGGATAAAGCCAGGACTAGAAGTAGGATCATTTGAAAGAGGTTACCTAACACCCTGGGTAAGTGACTGCGAGGCAAGATTGTAGTAACAGTTCCAAGAGCTGGATTATATATTTCATGGAGAAAGAAGGTAGTGAGGCTACTCTAAGTAAAAAAAGGAAGCAAGTTAAAGATGCTGCTATTAAAAGTGAATTTCTTATACTTGGGAGAAAAAACAGCAGTTAGAAGAGAGTGCTAGTGTGGCTGCATTGTGAAATTCGGTCAAGGAAGCACTTTGAAGAGTTGACACTATTGGGATTATGTGGAGCCAGTCACTAAATGTGGCTTCTGAGTCAAGGAAAAAGAGATGTGAAGACAAATGGAACAGTTGCTGTGACTGAGGGGTGATCAAGGGTACAGGAAGACACAAAGCCTTCTGGCCTGAGTGTTGGGAATGGAAGACAGCTTATAGACTAAGAGCAGAAGCAGTGGCTCTGGAGGGAGGCAGCGAGCACATCAGCAACTGACTCAGATGGAGATCTTGGGGGAGAAGTGGAATGTTTGAATCTCTGTTGGAAGATCTGAAGCCTTGGCCACACAGAAAAATTGTGCTTCATGATGTGTTTCTGCTGTGATCCACTGGGGCTGGAGGTGCTGCTCCTGAAAAGAATTAAGAGAGAAGCAGTTTCCGAAGGAAAACCAAGACTGCTTTGGGAGGATGTTGGATTAGAGATGCCTGAAAGACATGGTTGCAAGATAAAGAATCAAGCAGAATCTCCAAATCTGTCTCAGGAGCAAGATCAGAGGTAACGTTCTGGTGTTCACAACACAGATATTATCCCAGGCAAGAGAACAGAAAGAACAAGGAGGGCGAATGTAAATTAAGAAAAACATAAAGCAGAGGCTAAGAGAGCCCAGGGATGCTCCAGTAGTCAGAGTCAAAGCAGCTTCGAAGGAGGCTGAGAGGAACCAAACTGAACATCTGGGTGGAGGTGGAGACAGCTGCAACATCAGGCAAGGAAAGAGGAGTAAAAGGATAAGAGAAGACCGAGTAAATGGCATGGATGAGCACCCCCACTGTTCTCAAGAGAGGTGGAAACCACTGTGTTGGGGACAGAAGTACTTTGAGAAGTTTGGTAAAGTCTAACCCAGGTGGGCTCAGAGGACAATATGAATTTATAGGGAAGACTAAATGTGGACAGCTCCTGGAAAATTTCTAGAATTGAGGGAAGCAGCAAAATGGGGCTTGGAGAAAGTGAGGGATGGAGAGATGCTTTACGAGATGGACTGGAAGTCACTCTGGCATTCTGTGTGCTGATGGGAATAACAGCATCCAAGACAAAGAAGCTGGTGACTAGGGGCGGGCATTAGAGGATGGTATAGGACTGGTAGTATGCAGTGCACCAAGACATTGCTGGCCAGGAGGAAAGGGTGAGGAGACAGGCTATCCAGACAAGAGATAGGGAAGTGGGGAGATTCAGGCACATGAGGGTGAAAATCTCCCCTCTTGGTTTTGCATGTTTTCTCAATAGAAATGAGGTTATTAGCCTAAAGCAAGGAATATAGTTTAGACAATAGGAGAAGAGACAGGAGGGGGTTGAAAACGGGAAGTGTGTGTGGTGGGGGCTCAGTTCAGAGCTAAGTGGGAAGCAGGGGGCTTCCCACTGAAGAGAAGGTTCAGTGCATGCCACACAAAGCAAGCATGAGGACTGGAGTTCAGATCCCCAGCACTCATGGAAATGCTGAGCAGATGTGTTGGTCCACCTGTGATCCCAGACCTCCAGAAATGAAATTAAATCCCCAGAACACTCTGGCAGCTAGACTGGTGAACTCTGGGCTGAACTGGGAAAGGGAAGAAACCCTGTTCAATCTATAAAGCATAGAGCGATCAGAGAAGAATCCTATACACATGCATACCACACACATACACACATGTAACACACATATACACACTTCATACATGTATACATACAAGTGCATGTGTGCCTGCATGTACACACACACACACACACACACACACACACACACACACACACAACAACCATGGATGAGAGGTGATTTTTCCCTTCTTCTCTCTCATTCAGTGAAACAGGAATCTTGCAACAGTCAAGCTGTAGAACTTTGATATGGCTGCATCTGAAAAAGCCTGGATGGGACATTGAGACTTCTATTCTGGCTGGGTGGTGCACCTTTAATCCCAGCACTTAGGAGGCAGAGGCAGGTGGATCTCTGTGAGTTCGAGACCAGCCTGGTTTACAAGAGCTAGTTCCCGGACAGCCTCCAAAGCCACAGAAAAACCCTGTCTTGAAAAACCATTCTATTCTGATGGCACATGCATACAAATGTCTTAGCCTGGTGTCATACTGGATACTAGAGACCAGTGTGCAGCTGAACCAGGTGCAGATGGGTCACAGCTGTGTACAAGAACAAATTCTGGCTCATTAGCTACTGTGAAGCCTCACTGCTCTCCACATCCTTTACTGTTTAAAGTTTTGATCATTTGATTCTTTGTGTTCTAAATAAGCTCAGAAAATAAAGACATATTTTTGAGGGGAATATTACTGCTAACTGAACATGATCCCACTAGCCATGTGCACACTTATAATCTAGCTGGCAGTGAACTATCATTTACTAACTTCTGGTTGTCACTTATAAAGACTTAAAACTGGTTTAAACAAATACATAACTCTGGGAGATCTTTTTGTTTATCATTTGTATCTTTGCTCACTACTTTGTCTAGTTCAAATTTTAACTCATTCTTGGCCATATTTTTTTTGTGTGTGTGTGTGTGTTTGTGTGTGTTTGTATTCTATTCTATTAAATGCTTACCCAAAGATTCCTTTGTACCATTCCTATGGCTTGTTGGGCTGAGATAAGAAAGCTCAGGGAAGAGAACTGGAGAATGAGGAATGGCCACAGTAGCTAGGGAAGAGCTGTTAATCCTCAATGCTGATGATAAGGAACTTCTTAAATGTCTGTGACTCTGCAAACTCAAGCAGTGACCCAGAAGATGTGCCCTTTAATGAGAGATCCAGCTAAGCCGTCAAAAATGTGATATGATATCTGGCACCTCAAATTGGTTTTTATTTTTAACACATTAAATTTAAAACTGGAGGCTGCTCAATTGTCCCGAGTAGATAGAAACAGAAATTCAAAGAAAAGTCCAGAGCCTTAACTCGACACTAGGAATCACCTAACCCTTTTACATATCCTCCTGTTGTCTTCCCATCAGTTCAGGCTTCTGTGTCACAATTTCTTATGTGTTTCTCTAAGAAGTGTATTATCTCCCAACACTGTGGCTTTCTACAGTGGAATTTTCAGGGGTTCTAAGCCAGGGGAAGCAGGTAAACTTTATGAGCCATCCCAGGAACACTAGTGCTTTGTGATGGTAGCTAGGTCCTGTAGGAGAAGGACTATGATGTGTGTGCATGTGAGCTTGATAACCACACACACCACAGACACATGCACACACATACGCCACACATACTACACACACACACACACACACACACACACACAGCACCCCTCACACACACCACACACACACACACAATGCATGTTGTATACTTGTATACCCATAAGTGCATGCGTGGGGGGTAGAGATCAATCTTTAGTGTCTTTCTCCCTCTCCATCTTATTTATGAGTCAGTTCTACCAGTTTACCACTTGGGTAGACTAGCTGGTCAGCATTCCCCCAGGAATGCTGTCTCTCCCTCCTAGCAATGAGACATAGACAGATGTGCACTGTACACCAGACTTTCTATGCTGATGATCTGAATTCATGTCCTCATGCTTGCACCACAGACCCTTCACCTGCTAAGCCATTTCCCCAACCCCTTCATCTTATAATTGTGAAAATTCCCAAACAGAATGCTATTAGTGGAGGGACCTCCCTGACAGTGTGGGATGCGAG